GATCTATGCATGGGCAAGATTCTACCTACCAAAGCCTAGATACAAGAAAAGTCTCTAGTATCAGAGAAGTGACATGACCTGGAAAAAGCCCCAGCCCCTGGTGAGGGGATGACAGCAGAGTTATAGTTCTAGACAAGGCTAGGGGATCTAGGCAGGACAACTGGACAGATCTTGGTCTTCTTAGGGAAAAGCCAAAATAAAGGTGAGATGGTGGAGAGGCAGAGAGTAGTGCACATATATGTCATTCACAGTACAGTAAACCTACCCAGGATTCCCTCCCTGCTGGGGGCACTGGCAATAATGTCCTGAGATCAGCAGATCTAGCTATATCACTAGATCTTCTGTATGGGTGTGGTGGTTAGGGAGAGAGGAAGGGTTATGGTATATCCAGACACTTCCACAGAGCTGCACTAATTTCACAAAGAAGAGAAGTGCAGACTCTGTCAAATTTCAGGAGGTGAAGGGTAAAGACCTTTCCTAGAACAGCCTTCTGAGAAATGTGCTGGAAGGACCCTAGAGGCCTGAATGAAGCCAAAAGTCTGATCTAAAACAAAATGCTCTACACTTAGGGTAGGAACATGGATAGAGTGGAAGCTGAAGCATGAGGGTGAAGGGCATCCATGAACTCAACTGTGAGGAGCATGGGAAAGGTATGGAGATTTGAGTTGCTTCTGTCAGAGACTCCCTGGGGGAGAAAAGATGTGAGAATTAGATCACAAGGGCAGTTTGAGAGAAGTGCTAGATGAAAGATGATGAACAGCCGACTAGAAAAGCTCTCTTTGAAGGAATTCAAGCCAAAGAATCTATAGATCTGAATCTAAGGCTCTATACTGGCAGCCTCTGGATTAGCTATTCTGGCTCCACCAAAGTTAGTGGATAAGGGGGAATTGCACCTTTACATGGACAACCCAAATGCTTTGTCATTCCTTTTGACATGGCTTATTTTGCTTTCTGGTAAAGCCCTATCTCAGCACAACATATTGGGAAATCAAGACCAGAAGTTGTCAGTGACTAGCGGCCTCTGAGGAAGTGATCTTGCCCTGCCCATGTTGTCATCAGCAGCCACTTTTGCGCCACCATTTTACATCACTTCTGGGAAGTTTCCTCCCACTTCCTAAGATCTATGCCAGTCTTGTCTGAGGACATCACAGCAAACCACAGACCCAAAGATCCCACACTTCTTGTTACATATGTCTGTCAGCTATTCTCTCGACATCATGCCTAAATTCTTTATCATATCTTCATCTTTAATAGGACCTTGAAGACTTAAATTAAGAGAAATAAATTTCACTTGCTGAATTCCAAGCACTATCAAAGAGCTGAAGGAAGTCTTAGAGGGACAGAATACATTCTTGGTGCCCTGAAATTACACCACTTTACAGTCAAGCCTTTTCTTCTTATTCCATCACCTGACACACTCACACTGTCTCCTCTGCCAGCCCAGAGGCCAGGCTACTCTGGACCTAAGCCAGACCCACTGCCATCTGGTCTCCCTTAGAAAGGCAAAAGAGAGACACTTCTTGTTTACTCAGTAATAATTCACTGTAATAGTCACATAACAGGTGCCACCAGCTCCAGTACATGCAGTAAAGGGCACACCACACCCTCACCTCTGCCCCCATCATGGCTACTCCTTGGAACACATCAACAAATGTTATCTGGAGAATAGGATAGGGCCTCTAAAGCAGTAAACCAGAGTTATCAGTGGTGGTGGTGGTTTTTGTTTTTGTTTTTGTTTTTCCCCAGTGGTGTTTTGACACTTGTGGATTACACTGCAATGAAGACCTAGAGGTAAAGAACAAAGACTTTTTAAAAATCCTCTCCTATAGGATCTTTCCTATAGGAAATATATCTCTCCTATAGGAATCTTTCCCACATATGTTGTTGCAGCATCTCTCTATATAGAACCTAGCATTCTATAAACAGGATGCTCTGGCTAAACACGTCTCAACAAGTAAAACTGAGGCAGAGAAAAATGGCATCTCTCCATCTTCTCCACCTTCCCTACCCTCCTTCCCTAAATCTTGTCAGAGACAGACAAGCTCTGTGAAAACAGCATGGGTTTGGAACTGGACAGACCTGAGGAGAAATAAATCCTAGCTTAGCTTTTTATTAGCTGTCTGACATTGGGCAAGTTACATAACGTCTTTGACTATCAGCTTGCCCATGTGCAAAAATGATGATACTTCACCGGTTTGCATTATGACAAGTAAGAAAATATATGAAAAGTCTAACACATGCCTGACTCTCCAGGGTTAGAGTTTGTTCTCCCCCATCTAGCTCACCATGCACCTGGTGCCCTAATGTTATTCTCTAGTTGTCCAAGGCCAAGGTGTGTGCCCCACACAAATTTAAGTTTCCATCCCTTAGAAGAGCTAATCTAATCACACTATTAAAAAGGAAAGCATTTCTTTTGATGAATGAATTCAAGTAAAATGTGGATGATGTTGCTGGGTTCCTATTATTAATTCTGTGCATGTAGGATTTCTACATTTAAAAAATGTAGTTACAGGGGCACCTGGTAGGCTCAATTGGTGGAGGGTGCAACTCTTGATCTTGGGGTTGTGAGTTCAAGCCCCACACTGGGTACAGAGATTACCCAAAATAACAAAAATCTTTAAAAAGAAAAAATAATAATAAAATTAAAAAAAGAACTAGGAATTCCAATGAAAGGAAGAACACCTAATGATGAGTTCTTCTAGATCACAGGGGATCAATGTCAGCCTCGCTCTCTATAATCATGGCTCACATCACTCTCTGTGTTGAAGATGAGAAAACATCAGAGCTATAGGACATCATCTCCAATTGCCAAATGTCTACCTCAAATCAACAGGTCCAGAAAAGAACTTGGGAGCCTTTGCTACTGATTCTTCTCTGGCCAGCACACTCCACTTCCTTAGCCAAGAAGTTACAGTGGTGCTTTTTTCCTAGGATGTTTCCAACACTATTTTAAGCTCTTTGAAATGAAGCAGCAACAGATTCAATTATGGTCACAGCCTTGGGATAGCCTGTAGGAAGCCTGGGCTCTACTTCCAGAAACACACCTTGCTTCTCTGAATGGTTTCAACAAAGTCAAATTAATACAGGTGGCAGAGTGGGACTGTGTCTTGACTTCTCTCTTAGTGATCCAGGAAGGAGGACCACGAGGACACTTCTGGGCTTTACACATACAGGAACACAGAAGCAGATTATTACAACTAAAAATGGCCTAAGTGTAATCACTTGGCACAATGTACTATGCTGACTATAAATCACAACTCAGTATGGGAGTTCTCTGAGGTACTCTTCAGCAATGTGCATGTTCTACTTACTCGACTTTCTTGGCAAGCCTCCAGAGAGCATGAGGCACTAGTATAGGCCGTGATCTCAGGAGCCAGATACCCTTCTGGGGTGAAAGGTTTTGGCTGGCAACATTAGCACATAGAATAAAGAAGAAAAGAAGATGAAGTCCAAGGTGAGGAAAGGACTGATCCAGGCAGGATTATCCAATAGCATGAGCTTAAGAACTGGAAAAGCAGAGAGAATAACAGATATTTTAAATTATGTTGCTCTAACTGGTCACCATGGTAAAAATCAGAATTTTGCTGGATTTCCTTATACTTACTTTGTGTTCATTTCTTCACTCAACAAATATTTCTTGAGGGGCTAGTAAATACCAGGTCTTTCCTCATTCCTAGAATATAGCAACAAACAAAACAAATATGGTTCCTGAGTTCCTGGAGCTCAGCCTAGTGAGAATTGTTAAGAATAAGAGCAAGATCCAAAGCAAAAGGTCCATATTGGAAAACAGGCAAAATTCTGCAGCCTGCAATGGGATGCAGAGGGAGGAGATCCCTTCTGGGATGCCACCAAAAGAGACCATGGGCAAACAAGGAGCTGTTTAGGTAGTTGAGCTGGGTCAGATAACATCCTTATCCCCAACTCACTTTGGCAGAGGACAGAGCCACTGTGGTGTGTGGGGTTTATCAAAAACAGGTGACCAGGGCCTGAACATTGGCCATCTTCTCTGCTCACAGCCATGAACTCTGGAATGTGCCATGTGAGTTGTGCATGATATCCCGAAGCTCAAAAAACAAAAAAACACACCAAGACTTGAGTTGTCTACTGACAGGAATTCTAGGAAGTATAGCAGGCCAGAAACGGGAAACATAAAAACAATTGCCAGAAACTGAGTGACCCTCCCCCCAGCTGTCACCAATATTTCTCTAACACTGCATGGAAATGAAAAATAGAAACCCAGGGGCACCTGGGTGGTTCAGTTGGTTAAGCATCCAACTTTGGCTTAGGTTGCAATCTCATGGTTTGTGAGTTTGAGCCCTGTGTCAGGCTCTGTGCTGACAGCACAGTCTTCTTCAGATGCTCAGTCTCTTTCTCGTTCTGCCCCCTCCCTTGCTCATGCTCTCTCTCTCAAAATTAAATAAACATTAAAAAAATTAAAAGAATAAAAAATAATAAAAGCCTGGTATCATCTGGAGGAGTGGGGCTGGGAAGCAAGCTGAGGAAATGATCAAGCAACCACCAAAAGCCTCCTGAGAGGAGTTTCTGCTTTAGGGGGTGAAGTGGGCAAGAATGGGGAAAGGCTATAGTCTGCTGTGTTAGAGAAGAAACCAATTCTGCAGCTCAGCTCAGCACTACCAGAAGGTGCAATGGCCATGGTGAAGGTGCAGAGCTGACAACAGCAGCAACATCAGGAGCTTGAGAATAAGTGCCCAGCCAGCAGAGCAGTGGCCTACAGAGAGATCTCAAAGTCTCTAACCTCTATGGGCCTCTTTCCATATTCGAAAAAGGAGATAATAAAAAAGCATGTTTGGTTTTCCAGGGCTACTATCACAAAAACTACAAACTGGGTGACTTCTAACAAAAAACACTTATCCTCTCATTGTTCTGGAAGCTAGAAGTCCAAAATCAAGGTTTCAGCAGGGCCATGCTCCCTCTGAAGGCTCCAGGGGAGAGTCTTCCCTTGCCTCTTTCAGCTTCTTGTGGTTGCCAGTAATCCTTACCATTCCTTGATTTGTGGCAGCACAATTCCAATCTCTGCTTCCAACTTCATATGAACATCTTCTCTCTGTGTGTCTCCCTCTTCATATAGGAACACCAGTTGCTAGATCAGGGCTCATCCTAATCCAGTACAACTTCATCTTAACTTGATTACAGCTACAAGGATCCTATGTCCAAATAAGATTACATTTATAGGTTCTGGGTGGACATGAATTATTAGGAGGACACAATTCAACCCAGTACAGAACACTTATCTCATAAAAACTTTATATATGGAAGGTGCTTGGAACAGTTGCTGGCACATAACATATGCCGTGTAAGAGTGAACTGCCCTTCTCCATCATTTTTGGCAGATGACAGTTGCCATGGGATATGTGAAGATTCTGTTACATAAGGCTCACCTTCCCTCCATCTTGAGTCAGAGGCAAGAAACTAGATGGGACAAGAGTTCCAAAAAGAGTTGGTGAAGGCACAGGTAGAACACAATGTGTTCATTACCATTCAATACTCCCTATCAATACCCTAACAATACTCTGGGCTGGAGTGAGGAAATATCCACTACAATCACCTCATCTGTCTTTTTGAAAGACAGAGAACTCACCATTCCAAATTAACAACTGTTCCTTCAAAGCAGTCCTCAAATTAGGATCCATTTAGAAGGAGCCTCCACAGAAGAGGCAGCAGAAAAGATTCACTAGTGAATACAGCAGTCTCATCACTTACAGTCAAGCTGTGAATTCTGATCCCAAACTGCTTTCCACAGCATATTCATCCCACAGCTTAGCAACTGAGTGACTACTGAGTCCAAACATGAAATTCACTCTCTGAAATGGAGATTTGCTATCTCTAGAATATCTTACTTTCAAATTAGGGGAGGGAAGACAAGATTAAAGGCTGCTGCTCTTTCTTCTTTAATAAACAGGTTTGGGACAGCACACAACTGAAAAAAAATAGAGCCAGATATCAACTGCTATCTTCATATCAAAATAAATTCCAGATGGATCAAAGACTTAAAGATTAAATTTAAACACACACACACGCACGCACGCACGCACGCACACACACACACACACACACACATACCAAGTATTCAAAGAGAATGAATAACTAGTTTTATAATTTTGAGGTAGGGAAGCATGCCTTTTCTAAATATTGGCTTAGCAGTAGGAAAAACTATAAGAAAAAAGATTATTTTGACTACCTAAAAATGCAAAATTTCCCAACAACAGCAACAACAAAAAACAAAATGCATAAACACAGTCAAAAGACAAATGACAAACTAGGGACAATTCTGCATCATATATAATAGTCAACACTTTAGCTCTTACAAATTATTAAAAAAAGAATGCTGGGAAAATGTGTATAGGACATGAATAAATGAATCAAAGAAAAAATATAAATGTCCAAAATACATTTGAAAAGATATTCAATCTTTAATAAATATTAAAACATGCTTATTGAGGGATGCCTGGGTGCTCAGTCAATTAGGCATCTGACTTCAGCTCAGGTCATGATCTCACAGTTCGTGGGTTTGAGCTCCACGTTGGGCTCTGTGCTGACAGCTCAGAGCCTGGAGCCTGTTTCGGATTCTGTGTCTCCCTCTCTTGGCCCCTCGCCCACTCATGCTGTCTCGCTCCATCTCTCAAAAATGAATAAACGTTAAAAAAATTTTTTAAACATTCTTATTGAGTGACATTATCTCTATGACTATTTGAAACATTGTAGATTAACTGATCTTCATGAAATAGGTGCTATCATTACACCTACCTTATCAAAGATGAAACTGAGGGAGAGAGAAGTTAAATGACTTACCCAAAGTCACACAGTAAGTGGTTATGGTCCAAATTCAGGCTCCAGCAGACTGGCTCCAGAATCATATACCATATCACATCACATCATATCAGGGTCACATTCTCAACTACCATATTACAGTGACAAGACCACTTTTCATCTGTCAAATGGGGAAGATGAAAAACATACAACCCAATATTACTAATAACGTGGGGAAACAATCTCATGTTCCATTGGTAAAAGTTAACATTCTTTTTTTTTTTTTAATGTTTATTTTGAGAGAGAGAGAGAGAGAGAGCATGCACAAGTGCAAGTGGGAGAGGGACAGACAGAGAGAGGGAAAGAATCCCAAGCAGGCTCTGCACTGTCAGTGTAGAGCCCAAAGTAGGGCTTGACCTCACCAACCAAACTGTGAGATCATGACCTGAACCTAAATCAAGAGTCAATCACATAACTGACAGAGTCACCCAGATGCCAATGAACCCACATTTTAAATGTGCATATCCTTGGGGTGCCTGGGTGGCTCAATCAGTTAAGCATCCAACTTTGGTCCAGGTCATGATCTTGTGGTTCGTGGGTTCAAGCCCCGTGTCAGGCTCTGTGGTAACAGTTCAGAGCCTGAACCCTACTTCGGATTCTGTGTGTCTCTCTCTCTGCTTCTACCTGGCTCATGTCATGTCTCTCTCTTCCAAAAATAAATAAACATTTTTTAAAAATTAATAAATGTGTACATCCTCTAACTCAGCCATTCTATTTCTTAGAATTTATCCTAAGAAGATAACTAGAGAAATGCACAAAGACTATGTACAGAGTGTTTATCACAGAATACATAACAACATAAACAATGCAAATAAGAATGCCTGGCTGGCTCAGTCCAGAGTGATACATGGTGTTGGCATCATGAGTTCAAGCCCCACGTTGGATGCAGAGATTAGTTAAAATACTGCAGACAGGGGCACTTGGGTGGCTCAGTTGGTTAAGCGTCCAAATTCAGCTCAGGCCATCATCTCAAGATTCATGAATTTGAGCCCCACATCAGGCTCTCTGCTGTCAGTACAGAGCCCACTTTGGATCCTCTGTCCCACCTGCCATGCCCCTGCCATGCCTGCCCCCCAGCATATGTGCGCACCTGCTCTCTCTTAAAAATAAACTTAAGGCAGAAAAGAGAAGAAATATAACTTAACCATTTATTCTATATTCATTTACATGATAAGGTGTCTATTACAAACTATAAAATGAAAAATTATTCTTACCACACACAAAAAATAGGTAATTATGTCAGGTGATAGATGTGTTAACCACACTGTGATAATCATTTAAAAATATATACATGAATCAAATCATATTGTCCACCCTAAACTTACACAATGTTATATGTCAATTATATCTCAATAAAGCTGGGGAAAAGGTGAAAAAAGACTACAAACAGTACAAAGAAGAAAATGAGTAGTAAGGTATGATTCCATTGATATGATATTACATGTACGCTTATGCTTTAAAAAAGGAGGAACAACACAGAAAGAACTTGTTAATACTAAGCAGGGGTCAAGCTGAGTGCCAGACAAGTGGTACCATAGCCGCAGCCTTTATTTATTCTCCCCACTCACTCACTTCCTCCCCACACCTACACTTTGTTCCAGAAAAGATTTAAGGATCACAAATCCACCTAACCCCCTGACAAGTTCTTTAACTCTTCCCTTCCTTCCTCATCCTTTTCCCTTCCCTTTCCAGAAGCCAGGTCAGTGATGGGGAAAAGGATAAAAGCTTAAGATCAAGGCAAGTTGATTAGGCCTAAGAAGGATGGAGGGAAACCCTCATACATCTGGATGTGATTTCTCTTATTTCAGCATGTAGGTGATTCAGAGAATTGAGAGATCCCGGGAGGTACACTTCCTCCCTGCAGACCTAGAAGATTTGAAGCAAAGCTATCTGGGATTCAGATTTCTTATTTCATCTCCTACTAAACCCCAAATGCCTTGCAGAAGTAAGCCTGACTCTCACAGGGAAGTGACTAGCCGCAGCAGGCCAGAGCTCTGCCCCTGGCACACAAGTGCCTACATATTCCAATGAGCAGAAAATGACACAGAGCTGAGCTCATTTTGCTCTCTACTTTATCCCTTCCTCCATGTCTGCACCCAACAAGCTATCCTGGCTAAGTTAAACTCATGTTCAACCCCTTACATACACCATCTTAGAGATTTGGAGTCTTCCCCACTAAGATTTTTAAGCCTAGGTCCCTCCCAAGAAGGTTGCCCAAAGTAACACTTTCAGTCTGGGGTAAGGTTTTGAGTAATCTGGTGGACAGGGTCTAGATATATATGCTCTCAGATACTTGGAAATCAATTACACTTCTTGCTTAAGCATAAAGCCACCAACAAGGAATTGGCAACTTCCCAATGGTGGAATCCATGTTGCTATCCCCTATTTAGCCTGAGGGTAGAAGTCACATGAGTAGAGGTAAGGGAACTAGGGAAAGACTTAACAGTTTCAAAATATTTCTCACATACTCTCTGTCACCTGCTGGATACCTACAGTGTGCAAAAGCCCCTGTGTTAAATGCTTTCATATACTATCACCAAAAATGACAAATCACTTTAATCAAACATTCCTACCATATGCTACTAAATTTAGGAAACCAATGATACATACAGGTCCAAGTTGCCCTGCTGACAGTTGAATACCCAGGCTTGAAATTAGGAAGAGATGAGAAATCTTAGATTCTCCTCATCCCTGCAACAGAAGTCTCATTACACACCATGAGGCCACAGCCTTTCATGCCCCATTCCAGCTTCTGCTCTTTCCCAGGCTTTCAACAGGGAACAGCCCTCCCACACATGGGTGCACACACACACACACACACACACACACCCCAAAACCTCTAATACACGTAGTCTTCAAGTAGAAGCAATTCTTCACTAGTAAAGAGGATAAGAGGAGTGAGAGAAAATCCAACAGCAATCATCTCTTTAGCAGAGGAGCTTCTTTCTTTCTCTCTACCTCTCTCTTACCTTCCTTGAATATGTTGTTATTGAGCAACTATTCTCATCACTGTATACGCCCCATGCCTTCATGGATTTATTCCATTTGGAAAGACAAAACACAAACACACAGGAAACATGTTTTTAAAAAGGGAGAGGAAAGCTCCAAGATTTCTAGTGCATGGAACAGGAAAAACAGAGACAGTCAGACAAATGGTGGAGTATCCTGACATACACAGGTATCTTCAATTTCATACACAATCTTCCCTTTTTTTGTTCCAATCTCTGTAGAGATGTGTTTAACTTCAAGAAAAATCTCAAATAAAAATATCCAAATACATAAAGTTGGGGATCATTCACTAAACAAAAAAGATCTTCCCTTTGCTGTGAGGTTTAGTGAGACACAACTTAACACCTCCCCAGCCCCTGTCCCTATTGAGACAGACAGACAGACAGACACACACACACACACACGTTCACATTCAACTTTTCAGGATCACACATATCGGGTAAAGCAAAGTACTTAAAAAACATTTATAAAAAACAGTATAGGGGCACATGGGTGGCTCAGCTGGTTAAGCCTCCAACTCTTTATTGTGGCTTAGGTCATGATCTCATGGTTGAGATTGAGCCCCATATCAGGCTCTGCACTTATGGCACACAACCTGCTTGGGATTCTCTCTTCCTGCCCCTCCCCACTGTACTCTCTCTCTCAAAATAAGTAAATAAACATTAAAAAAAAAAAACCACACACAATAGCAATCCATATCAAAATAACACCAGCATTCTTCACAGAGCTAGAACAAGCAATCCTGAAATTTGTATGGAACCGGAATAGACCCCAAATAGCCAAAGGAATCTTGGAGAAGAAAAACAGAGCAGGATGCATCATAATTCTGGACTTCAAGCTGTATTACAAAGGGGTAATCATCAAGACAGTATGAAACTGGGACAAAAACAGACACTCAGATCAGTGGAACAGAACAGAGAGCCCAGAAATGGACCTGCAAACATATGGCCAACTAATCTTTGACAAAGCAGGAAAGAATATCAATGGAAAAAAAAAAACAGTCTTTTCAGCAAATGGTGCTGGGGAAACTGGACAGTGACACGCAGAAGAATGAACTTGGACCACTTTCTTATACCATACACAAAAATAAACTCAAAATGGATGAAAGACCTAAACATAAGACAGAAAGCCATCAAAATCCCAGAGGAGAAAGCAGGTAAAAATCTCTTTGACCTCTGCCACAGCAACTTGTTACTCAACATGTCTCCAGAGACAAGGAAATCAAAAGCAAAAATGAATGATTGGGACCTCATCAAGATAAAAAGCTTCTGCACAGTGAAGGAAACAATCAGCAAAACTAAAAGACAACTGAAAGAATGGGAGAAGATATTTGCAAATGACATCAGATAAAGGGTTAGTATCCAAAATCTATAAAGAACTTATCAAACTCAACACCCAAAAAACAAATAAGCCATTGAAGAAATGGGCAAAAGACATGAACAGACACACATCCAGATGGCTAACAGACACATGAAAAAATGCTCAACATCACTCGTCATCAGAGAAATACAAATCAAAACCACAATGAGATACCACCTCACACCTGTCAGAATGGCTAAAATTAACAACTCAGGCAACAACAGATGTTGGCAAAGATGCAAAGAAAGAGGAACCCTTTAGCACTGCTGGTGGGAATGCAAACTGCTGCAGCTACTCTAGAAAACAGTATGGAGGGTCCTCAAAAAAATTAAAAATTGAACTGCCATGGGGCACCTGGGTGGCTCAGTTGGTTGAGCGTCTGACTTTGGCTCAGGTCATGATCTCACAGTTTGTGGGTTCGAGCCCCACATCAGGCTCTGTGCTGACAGCTAGCTCAGAGCCTAGAGCCTGTTTCAGATTCTGTGTCTCCCTCTCTCTCTGACCCTCCCCTGCTCATGCTGTCTCTCAGAAATAAATAAAACATTAAAAAAAAAAACTTAAAAAAACAGAACTGCCCTACAACCCAGCAACTGCACTACTAGGTATTTATCCAAAGAATACAGAAGGGCTGTTTTGAAGGGGCACATGTATCCCATGTGACTACCTAGTATGGAAAGAACCCAAATGTCCATCAACTGATAAATGGATAAAGATGTGGTGTATATATATACAATGGAATATTACTCAGCAATC